ACCCCCCCCAAAACCTATAAGGAGTTTAAAAAAAATCTTGCAGTTTTTGTTTCTTGGTGTCTAGAAGGGGGGAATATTGAGGTTGGGCGAAAGTGATTGAATTCGTGCCTGCAGTAGTTGGGGCACGTGAGTATTTCATGCAGTTCTTCCGACGGGAACACAGACGCGAGCAACTCCTGAAACATCCCTGCTCAGAATTAAACCACACTAAAATTTCCTGCAAATTGCACAGAGCAATTTTAAATCCTCACCATATTCCTAACAGATAGAACAGTGGCATGATTGACCAAGCTTTTTTTCTTCTTCTTCTTTTTTAAAGTACACATATGATGATGCATCATAGTTATAAACAGATGGTATTTGGCCTCCTTCCTATTCTCAACATTTGGAATTCCTAAACTATGTGAATTAAACAATAATATTTTATAAACATACAAGGGATTTTGCTCACTGCTTTGTTAACATAGAAATTATACAATGCTGACATTTATTTAAATTTTAAAAAGTAAACAAGAGTGTGTATTGAATTAAAGCAAACTAAAATCAACAGAAAGAAATATGTTCTGCGCGCACATTACCTACAACGGCACGGGCCTTTTTAGGGGCGACGTAATGGGATGAAGCACAAATTGTAGCTTAGACAGTCTGATCCTTTGTGCTCGAAAGGCTCATTTAACACCTCACTGTAAACAACGGATATTTATACCATAATTGGCCAGTTGACCATCAGTTGTTCATTCACTATGTAACCTGCTATTATGGAGTTAAAAGAAGTTCCTTTCTGTTGGCTTTTCTAGGAGTGAAAGTGTGTTTGCAATTTTAGTACCAACTGGATTCAGTCTAACACTTGTACTTAGTATGAGAAACATTTTCATAATACCAAAATTTGGGAGAATAGGAGTATTCCTGCCAGGAAGGGAAGAAGAAAGTATTGGTTCTTAAAAGAAGAATTCTGTTTGCTTGGTTTCCTCTTTCCTTTCCATTTTAACCCCTTTTTAGGCGCCTCGCTAGCTGTGCAAAATCGAGAAGCACTTAGGTCTTTAATCACTATTCCCAGGTCTGCAAAGAGGTTCTGTGATGAATAAATAATGAATCAGAGATTTTAATCAGTGTTATGATTTTTGAAAAGGCTAATTATCATTGTTTACAGACATGCCTTTCCAATGCGTTTCCTTGTTTTGCCTTCAAAGCTCCAAGGGTTAAGCCCCGAGCAGGCATCCCTCCCATTCCTCCTCAGCGCCGCGCTCCTTTGCTGTGTTTTCTTGCGGGGTTTTGGGGGGTATTTTGTGTTTGTTTGGGGTGGGTTTATGTTTTGCAGAGC